AGAGAGAGAGAGAGAGAGAGAGAGAGAGAGAGAGAGAGAGAGAGAGACCGTTACACATATACAGCACAATATTAATGGTGCAAATAGGGAAAAATTTATTTGGAGCTACAAAAAACCAATTCTACTACTCATTTGATCTCATGTTTTATCTTCTCATGAACGTGTGTGGTATACAATATTAAAGCAGGAAAAAGGTTAATTAAGAGTGAAATGCCTTCTACAATCCCAGTATCCAGCTTGTCAGTCAGTCACACTCTTTATCCCTTTCTGTCATGTTCGTGTACATGGGCTCAGATACATTTACACATACAGTACTCTGCATCTAAGCTCTCGACAGAAACTTTATAAAAGAGGTTTCTAAATTACTGCAAGTCTTCATACCTTTATTTTTATTGATTTTATGTATGTCTACTCTTTTGTAATTCTATATCTCCTTTAAAATTTAGAAAAGCACAGTATGTTTTGAATTTATTTTGAAAATAACCAATAAAGCTGCTGTGGTTACGTAGGCTTACAGTGCCAGCACCAGGGGCTGAGAGAGGAGGATCACAAGCTGTGGCCAGCCTAGGATGTGTTATGCATTCTGGGTCATAGCCTACACTGTGAAATTCTGTCTCAATAAACAAAAGAAAATTAATTTGAAACATATGAGATATTTCCTCTTCATCTTATACTTTCAGTACATTTACTATGACTCCTGACTCTATTTGTGATGGAAATGTAAATCTAATTGCAATCAGTTAAGCTTTCTGTGTTCACGGGTCATTTTTTAAAATGAGTTTTCAGTCATTATTCCTTCATAGCTTGCCTTTTCCTTTTTCTCCGCTAGGAGTGCTTACTGTATGTATTTGCTGTAAGAACATTGTCTACATTTGACCCTCTATTCATTACTTTCCTCATTATTTTCCTTTTCTTCAACGTTCACAATCTGTATATGACAATTTACAAATTTGCCAATTATATATATATATATATATATATATATATGGTTTAAATTAGTAGAGCCCATTTAGTGAACAGTTTATACCAATTTTTACTTTCCTACTCCAAATTTCTATTTAACATTTCCCTATAATTTTTGTCTCTTCATTCACTATCTGATCGACATTGTCTTCATGCTTTTGTTTACTTCTTCAATTATGCCCTCCTTTCCATCTGCCAATGTTTTTACAATTGCTACTTTGAGATATTCTTGTTAAAGATGGCTTCTGCTCTTTCCAGAGGCCTTATCTGTTGCTTCTTATTCTTCTGTAAAGGTCATGTAAAGGCCTGTTTCTTTGCAATATTTCATTTTGTTGTCATTGGAAATATATTATTGCATATACAGGTTGTGGTTTCCCCTGCTGTGTTTGTTCTTGCTGTTGTTTGTTTGATTATTTTACGCAGTCTATCCCTCTAACAGTGAATCCTCTGATGAGGTACCTCATGAAAAACTTTCAGTCAGCCTGTCATCACCCTGGCATAGCTCTGAAGTTAGTAAAACTCTCTTCCACTTTCTTGACCACGTGAGCTGATAAACTCTAGTATTTACAGCAGATTTACTCACTATATTGGTAGAAATAAAGTCCACTAAAGCATCTGATCTAGAGAGGTGGCTCAGAGGTAAAAGCAGGGAGTGTTTTTTTCAGAGGACCAGAGTTTGATTCCCAGCTCCTACATTGCAATGGACAACCATCAGTAACACCTTTTCCAGGAGTTCTGACCACCTCTTCTGGTCTCCATGGTCACCAGGCATGCATGTGTTGCATACCTATGTATGTAAGCCAAACACTCACAAAGGGGTCTCTGTGACTTGTTCATGAGCCCAAGGACAGCAAAGCAACAATCCAAGGGAGATTTTTTTAAAGGCAGTTCAATAGAGTTCAACAATACACAGTAGTCGGTGTTGGTTCAACCTTTGAGAGTCTGATAGCAAGTTTATTTTAAGCATATTTAAGAAAGTAAATTTGAAAAAAAAGGTTTTCTGTGTATAACTAACTCAGTCCCATGTTTACTTATACTACAAGTGACATCTTCCATATAGATAGAATCCACAGATTAACGGAGGAATGAAGCTCAAGATGGGCAAGCTCGTGATGAGGGCCTGGCCAGTGCTATAGATACAGACAAGTCCAAGATAAGGGTCTGGGT